TTGGGCCCCACAGCAGACACCTTCTTATCTGCGAGGAACCACACCTCTTTGGAGGAACACATCCTATTGAAAACACATCAGCCATGAGGACAGGAGCCTATACACATGTGTCTAATGACAGAACCCTGGCAGGACCGTAGCTCACACAAACACACACACACACACACACACACACCCCACACACACACACACACCACACACACCTCTCACACAGAAAACCACAGTTGGAACCATCAGCCCTGGGACCGCCCACTCCGACCTGGTTTTACCCTGATTGGCTGGTCTCCCCAACCTCCCTAGAACACAATGCATTGCAGATCAGCGAGCAGCATTCCCTGCTGCAGACCTACCTAGCATGCCAACACCTCTGTGGAGGAGGTTCTTCTGAGGATGCCTGAACTCTCCCTCCCAACGACTGTAGCCATTGAGGCCTGCTTCACCCATTGTCCCCTCAGGGGCCCCTGGACAGAGCTCTGGGGTGCACACTGAGGGCCCATGCTGAGGAGTCCTCGAGAATGAAAAGAGATGCACAGGGGCTCCACGAGTCCAGGGGCAGCCAGGCACTGATCTCCTGCCTCATGTCAAACATCTCAGGGTTAGGGTCAGCATAGGCCACAGCAACCTCACAGCTAGAGCCCGGTGTGGTGACAGAAGTCAATGACAGAGGGACTTGCCCCAGGGTGACAGCTGCTTCTTGGGCATGGGCTTACACACATATATACACACACACACTTCACCACCAAGGCTAGGATAGCAGTGGGCAAATGAATACCCATAAGCCACTGCGTCCTCAGCTTGAGTCTCTCCATCCAGGCCAAAATGAGATCAGGAAAGCCTATCAAAGTCACTGTGAAGCTCTGCCCTCACCAATAAGGACTCAGTGGCAAACGTAGACGGCAGAGGGGACAGACATGGCCAGCACAGCTCACTCAAATGTTGGACGTTTCAGAAGCACAGAGCCAACTATCCCACTAGGGGAACCCAGATTCACCTCCTCACCACTGCTGTCACCCACCCAGATCCTGTCCCCATCGGCTGAGCCAGCCGAGGTGCCTGGCTCAGCACGACACACAGCCACAGCCAGGACATTCACAGCAGACTGGCATCTTCCAGCCGTCGAGCGCTCTCCAGGAACCAGTTCCAAACACTAACAAGGAAAGAGTTGCTTGAAGGGCTGCCTGTGGCAACAACAACACACTGTGTGAAGAGTATAAAAGCTGACAGCCAGCCCCTCACACTCACACACTCACACACTCACACACTCAGACCTGTCAGACCTGCCCACCATGGCCACCTCCACCATGTCTGTCTGCTCCAGCGACCTGAGCTACGACAGCCTCGTCTGCCTGCCCGGTTCCTGTGATTCCTGTACTGACTCCTCCTGGCAGGTGGACGACTGCCCAGAGAGCTGCTGTGAGCCCAGCTGCTGCCAGCCCAGCTGCTGCCAGCCCAGCTGCTGTGTCCCCAGCTGCTGTGCCCCAGCCCCCTGCCTGACCCTCGTCTGCACCCCAGTGAGCTGTGTGTCCAGCCCCTGCTGCCAGTCTGTCTGCTGCACACCCTCATGCTGCCAGCAGTCTAGCTGCCAGCCAGCTTGCTGCACCTGCTCCCCCTGCCAGAAGTCCTGCTGTATGACTCTCTGCTGCAAGCCTGTCTGCTGCACACCCATCTGCTCTGGCTCCTCCTCATGCTGCCAGCAGTCTAGCTGCCAGCCCTCATGCTGCCAGCCTTCCTGCTGTGTGCCTGTCTGCTGCAAGCCTGTCTGCTGCACACCCATCTGCTCTGGCTCCTCCCCATGCTGCCAGCCATCCTGCAGTGCTCCTGTCTGCTGCAAGCCCTGCTCCAGCATGTCCCTGCTCTGCCGCCCCGTGTGCAGACCCGCCTGCTGCCTGCCCACCTCCTCCTGCTGTGCCTCCTCCTGCCAGCCCAGCTGCTGCCGCCCAGCCTCCTGTGTGTCCCTGCTCTGCCGCCCTGCCTGCTCCCGCCAGGCCTGCTGTGGCCTCTCCTCGGGCCAGAAGTGCAGCTGCTGAGGGTCTATCCTGCTCGGGCCCACACAGCTCAGCTTCTTCCTTGACTCACTGGGACCTGTAGGGATGTACCAGCTTTGGCACCAGTAGCACATGGCAGCTCCACGGTGCCATAACCCCAACAGCTGGTGCTCACCCCCACCTGCAGCTTTATCTAAAAACTCTGTAGCCCTCCCATCCCACCCCCCATCACGCCTCTGCTCTTCCCCAGTGTATGTCTTTCCCTGACATTAATAAACCTCTTTCTGGCCTTTGAGTGTCCCTCTTCCTGCCTCACGTAAGGGTCAGGGATGTCTGGGAGCATTTTCCAGTGAGCCCCGGGGCTTGGACTGTCTCACCTCTGGCTGGAGTTCCCTGTGGGTTGTGGCTGGTGGCTGGGAGCTTCATTAGTCCCTGGCAAAAGAGCCCTCCCTCCTCAAGTCTCAGCATCCCTGGTTGTATGTTCAGGGACAGGACGGCCAGCAGGGGTGTGGCATAGCCAAAGCACAGCCGCAGCGTCTCCCAAGCAGGTCCCCCCCACCCATACCACTTTATTCAAATGCCCCAACCTGTACATCTGTGTCCCCATTAGGAGCACAGCCTGGAGGTGGGGAAAAGGTATCAAAGAGAAAGAAACCAAAGGGCAGAGGCTTCTTGCTCTGCCCTATGGGGTCTGGGCCTATACCTGCTCTCTCCTTGGGCGGATCTGGATGTTCTCCTCACACCAGTGTCCTCTGAGCTCTGAGCCAGACCCTGCCCAGGTGGGAGACAGCAGGGTGGGGGTGAGCAGGCTATAAACCTGAGGAGGCTGAGAAGCCTAACACCCTAGGAGCCTACCACTACCCCTCAACAAGCTTGGAGCATGCCCAGTGGGAAGAGGGCTCCTTGGGCGCTCTGTTTCTGCCCGCACACCAAGCCTTCCTGCCTTCCAAGGCTGTAAAGATGGGCAGCACCCTGCCTGTGCCTCCCCACTCTCCTGGGGACGCTCCTATTAGAAAGGGGGTAGAGACATCCGTTCCCACTAGGAGCCAGAACACTCCTGGGAGTTCACTGGTCTGGTACGTGGAACGTCCCCTCTCTATGGCTAAACCCCTGCCCCAGCCTGCACTCTATAGTACCTGAGACCAGTGACCTGGGGAGCCCTGAGCACCATGCTGGCCACCTGCTGGAGAGTGAAGCCATGGACCCTCCTCAGAAAGTCCCCAGAACACAGACTGCTTGACTCCACAGGGACAGCCACGTGGATAGTGACCAAGGTATTTCCTACCAGACAGCAGACTCCCATCTTGTCACCTCATTTGCACCAGGAAGCACCTGACAGGAGCAAAGGGGGGAGGGGCTCCTTAGGTCACTTCTAAAGCCAGCGTGACAGGTGTGAATGCTCATGGGCGCTTGCCTCAAGCTTCCCGAGTGTTGCGACCTGCACACTGGACGCCAGTCCCGGCTCCATGGTGCTTCCCCTGTGGTCACAGACGTGGGGTCCAGGCAGTTCAGACGCTCCAGCTTTCTACCTGCTGAACTTCATAGCTGCACAGTGTTCGACACAGAGCAGAACCAGAGGGACCTAAAACGGAGCCGACCCTTCCTAGCCTCCCAAGCCTCTTATCATGGAGTTCCATAATATCAGCCTGACTTGTATGTCTCCTCCCCGGTTTACTGTATTTATAACTGGGTCATCTTTTAACTATCCGGAACGTACCTTCAGGGGAGAGGGGGCGGGCTTTATAAATAACTGTACAGGTTGGCTGTTCCCCAGGCTCACGGAACAGGAAGGCACATGTTTGTGACTCATCCCGGCCCCGGAAGCGTGGCTGTGCTCTCGACTCCCAGCCAGGCCTACACAGGGTCCTCACTTACACGCTCACCTGCCTGGGGGTGGCCCTGCATAGGAACGGGAAAGGCTGGTACCCAGATGCCATCACTTGGATATGTGTGGTGACCACTAACTTAGCTCCACGTTTGAAGCCATCGCTGCAGGTGTGGCTGTCGGAGAACAGGGCACGGGGCCCAAGGGCCTCTCTCTTCTTCCTCAGATCACCACAGGTGGTACTGTCTCAGGCCCCAGGGCCATCTTACCCACCTCCCGTGGTCTAGCGGTTGCTGTAACTTCCAGCCGGTCACTTCTAGGCGGTTAGGTTCTAAACTGCACCGCTTACTCGGGTCAGGGCTCCAAGCCTCGACCGCAGGGTCACCTCCGGCCATATCACACAGAGCAACATCCCAGCGCACGAAGGAGCCTCACGCTTCCTAGCAACCAAAGAGGAGGTGGATGCACAGGAGACCGCAGCCACCCATCTCACAGGCAACTCTGGTAGTTGGGGTCCCCACCACCGATGTGCAATCCCCCAGCAGGTCCGGCTACCAGCTCCGACTGTCCTGTTTCTTGATTCCATAAACTGTTTGGTGATGAATAGCACCTCTTGCTAGAAGACCCTAGGATGGCCATCCTGGTCACTGCTGATCCTCAGTGGCCCCTCTAGAAGAGGAGGCCTGCAGTGAGCCCACCCTAGGGAGCCCCAGGCTGAACCCAGGTGTGGTTTGTGGGTGTGTATGGGGCTGGGCCTGTGTTTCTTCTTCAGCTGGGGACAGAGCCAGGCCCGAGGCGGCCCAGGGCTTTGCTAAGTGCAGGTTGGATAGCATCTCCATGCCAGGAGCCCGAGGGCCGGGGACTTCATTCCTGAAGCAGGTGCTCTGCCTTCCCCGGCAGCCAAGCAGGTAAGTACATGTGAAGAAGCCTCGATGGCTGCTGATAGCTCTTTGAAACTTGAAACCCCTCCCACCTCTGGCAGCCCAGAGAGACCTTTTATTGTGACTGCCCATGCAGCCCCCTCTACTGCACAACCCCCCCTCCCTGTCCCCCACAACCGGCCAGCTCTCCAGAAGCCAGCATGCTACCACACAAGCGATCTGGTGTCAGGAAGTGGCATGTCCAACCCCCTTTCCCTCCAACTCCACAGAAGGTGCAACTACCCCGAATCCCCTACACGCCCACCGTACCTGTGCAGGGCTCCCAGTGCCGGGCGCCGCGGCCGGGGGTAGCCAGAAGAAAGAGCGCCACACACAGGGGCAGCAGGGCAGACATGAGGGGCTCGGGTCCCAAGAGCCATCCAGGGGCTCCACTCGCCTGCAGAGAGGCAGCCACTCCTAATCCCCTGCTAGGGGCAGTCTGGGCCCAGGTGGTCACTGTGACGAATCCATGTTAGTATCTGCAGGAGGACAGAGGTGGCCCTGGCAGCAATGACAGCCCCTAGTTGTTCTGCAGTAGCAACAGGCGGGTGGCCCTGGCAGGCTGGGGCTTCAGCTGCAGGCAAGGGCTTATCTCTCCACTTCCCTGCTGGGCTTGGGTCCCGTGTGCAGGTGACAACAACGGTATCAATCTTCAGGACTGGGATTAGTCATTGGCAAAGCTCACTCTCCCGAAGGAGAGACAGAAATAGATCCTCCAGCGGAGTGCTGAAAACAAACCAGAAAAACTTAGAAAACCAGTTTTTCCTGGGTGCAGATGACGGCTGCCGTGCAGGACTCGGCGCAGGTGACCTGGGCAGACCTGCAGCAGCTAGCGATAAGGGCAGGTGCTCTGGCGGTCCTCCTCGGGCTGTCTTGGGAATGACCACACAGGTCCCTGCTCTCAGCTGGGTTGGGAGTCCCCAGGGGCCCCCACATTCAGCAGGGGTCAGCCTCAGGTCCCGCAGGAGGTCAGATCCTCTCTTCCGCGCTGGGATAGGGATCAGTCTCAGAGGAGGTGGCGGTAGCGGCAGGTCTCCTGCCCTGCTGGGTCCCACACCGTCCCCAGGAGGGCCGGCTTTGAGGAGGGCTTTTTATCTGCTGCCCAGCCCTCAGAGGGTGTGTGGGTTTGTCAACTGTTAGCTTTAGGAATTCCCCTGTGGGGGGAGCCATCCTTAAAGAGAGCTGTTCCAGAGGAAAGGGGTTAGAGTGTCCGGGAGGAGGGTGTGTTGCCCGTGGGCTCCGTTCCCTGGGGGGAGGCTTCTGGTTCAGGGGGACCCCCTTCCGCAAGTCCCTAAGGCACACGGTTTTCCCCCCGATTCAGAAGGAATGTCCCAGCTCAGAACCCAGGCAGAGCCTGACTCTGGGAATGTTTGCAAATGGCAGACTGTGAGTGTGTGTGTGTGTGTGTGTGTGTGTGTGTGTGTGTGTGTGTGTGTG